CCCCTCCCGGTCAGTGTTCAAGACCAGACTGGATGGAGCTCTGAGCAACCTGGTCTAGCGGAAGGTGTCCCTGCCCATGGCAGGAGGCTTGGAACTACATGAGCTTTAAGGTCCCTTCCAAACCAAACCATTCTGTGATTCAGTGACTCTAATACAAAATACCAAAGGAACTCTACATCCTACTTACATTGTTGACAACGGATGCATCAGCCCCTGCCTCCAGCAGCAGCTTAACCACCTTCCTGTGATTGAGAGCAGCAGCTACATGGAGAGCAGTGTCTCCCGCCTGCAAGTGACAAAGCAGAAAGCAGCTGTGGAACACATGGTCCTTGGGTCTCGCCCTGCAGAAATCACACCTTGCTAAAAGATGCTCAGAGCTCAAAAGACCTACACTTACTGATGCAACAACTAACCTGAAATAAGGCCTGGTCAATAAAATAAAGCAGAGTTGGGAGGAAGGGGACAGGAGGGAGTGAGGAACTGCTTCAGGGCAAGGACCTGCTTCAGCCTGGTTTTGAGAAACACAGCTGAGGCGCTGGTGATCTGGTTTAACTGCACCGAGCGACACACGATGCAGCTTGGAGACAGCTCAGCTCTACCGCCAGCAAACGGATACGACATCTGAGGGCAGAACTGGTTTTCCCCCCACAACCTTCTCTTTTTTTTTTTTTTTTCAGTTTTGATTATTTGGTGCACAGGTGGTCATGTATCACGTTACTCAAAAATCATGAGATAAATACCAGCAGCGAGATGGGTGGTGTTCTCTTCATGGGATTCCTCAAGTAAAGCAGGTTTTGGACCAAAGCCAGGAGGTGATCCAGGTCCAGCACTAACGCACTGCCCTGCCCTTGTCCCGGTGCAGTGAGGTGGGGACAGCTGGGATCAGATTTGGGCACCGTTAACAGAGCCAGCAGCTGTGCAAGGGGCAGATGACGAGCCCATAACGCCCTCCTGTCCCCTTTGCCTTGCGTTTTGCCTGCAGAAAATTAGATCTCCTCGAGGCTAGCGGAAACCTATTGCTTGCTGCTAACCTGGATGAGGCATGTTCGTAAATAAAACCATTATATGTGCGAATATGGAACAACTTCGGGTAGTGCTGGGGGATGAAGGAGAGGGCTGTCTCTGTATGCCAGGTTCACACCAGTTTATCTTACTATTCAGTAGCTCATTTTGCAAGTTAAAAAACTCATTTCCAAATAAAATAACATAGTAAATTTAACATGCTGAAACCCATTTTGTTTGCTGTAACAGCTCATATCTAAGAAACAAGATTAAATATACAGATCAGAAAACATCTTTATGATCCTCAGCTACACAAGGAAAATTTCCCAGGAACATGAGACGATGTGGTTAAGCACCACATAATCTGTTTATTTAGCAGATCTAACGCATTTTAATGTACTAAATCCATTCCCTTCTACCACCCAATTTGGCTATGCTATAGGTACAGCAATCAATTACTTCTCTATAAAACTACGGATACTTAACCCTAGGTTAGACTGATCACTACTTTTAATTTAAAGCATACTTTTTCTTCACTTTTATGTCCTCTTAATTCCCCCTACTGCAAAATGGTGCAGAGTATCCCAGAGGAATTCACACTTTTGTAGCATCGAAACATTCATGAGTTCTGCCTCACAATGTCTCTGTAATGGCCGTAGGATCGTTAAACCCCACGTACAGAGGAGAAAACGGGCCCCCATAAAACAACCGAGTCTCTTGCCGAGTCCCGTTGTGCACAGAACTGGTAAGGACTCAGGAGCGCCAACCCCCGTCCCTGCACTACTACCCCTGCCCCAGAGCCCCTTCCTACACCAACACACGACTGCAGAACCTCATAAACAGAGATGATGCTTTAAAGAAATGATGCAAATGCGATGGCAAAATAAGAAACCACTGGTATGCCATTACTTTAAGGCTGTTCTTAAAAGCTCAGGCACTTGGTGGTACAGTGAAACAAAGAGCGAAGTGGGATTTCTTGGGTTGGAATCCCTCTTCCCAACAACTGGCCGTATGCAAAGGGCGCAGAGTCGCAATGAGGTTCATGCACTGACCTGGTTCTTTTCATGGACAGAACAGAAAGCAGTGAGCAGCACCCTAACGATGGGCAAGTGATTATAACGAGCAGCCACATGCAGACAGGTATCTCCTGCCTGCAAACAGAAACAAAGCTCTGAGCATGTAATCACCGTAAGAAAGCTTGCACTTGTCGCAGTGTTCAGGGATGAAATAATCCAATTAACCCAAGAAGAGCAGTAAATGCCACACACCTCCACTGAACAGCAGTGCTGTCTTCTCTGTGGTACAAAATCTACTGTCATGGATGGGAAGGTTTAGCAAGAGCTGGGGTCAGGCAATGCAGGGCTACAAATTCTTTAACCACTGATGGGAAATAGTGGAATAATAAAAATGCTGGTTTACTACACTACAAAACCTGATTTACATTTTTACATTAAATCTGTTCTTCTGAACCACAACCCAGCGTGATTTAGCAACTCAACTCGGTGTTGCACACAGTGAAGAAAACGTGAGGAGTGGGGACCAGAGCAGCATCCCCACGAGGGGTGGCACACACGCAGCTGGGACTGGGGCAGAGCCCCCCTGGTTCCTGTTTCCATGTACCTCTGCCCACCTTGTTACTGAGCAGGGATAAAAACATCTGGCTTCCTTTTGTAGATTTTTTTTCTTTTCCTTTGGCATGCCAGAATCATTATAAAATAGGAGGAAAGCCGTTTGAAATTGAAGTCACCTTGAATCTGCCCCATTTGACAGACCGACACACAGCATCTATCATCTGTCCCAGTGAGGGCACGTCTGAAGGCTTTCCCCGCTCTAGCACAAAGTTCCTTTAAGATTTCCATCTTTTTGAGAGAGGAGCCCTTTTGCAGAATTGCGTGACAGTATATGGGCCGGGCCATCAGGACCACAAAAGGCAGGAAAGGACCAGCTGCCTCGGTCTGTGCAGCAGCAAAACCCCCCTTGGCTCCTTCCATCCCCACGCAAGAGATGGGCACAAGTAGCGCATTGCTCTGTCCTGTCGAAAGCATTCCTGTACATGATGTATACGGTAGTTTAATGTTTTTTTTTCAGTAGCATTTATAATAAAAATCACAGGTTAAAGCATTTCTGAGTGTTTCTACAAGTTACAATATAGCTAAAGCACAGGCACACAAAAATGAACAGGTTCTTTTAAAAACTCACGTTATTTTTGAGGTCTGCTCGCGATCCTCCCAGTAACAAAACACGAGTACTCTGGGAATGACTATTCTGGCAAGCCAGGTGAAGAGGTGTGTTACCTGCCTTAGAGAAATACGGGAAAATATAAAAGCCCTGTTTAGAAATTGGACATAAGCATTAAAAAATAAAACCTCACAGGTCATCCCGCAAGAAGATCCACCCAGGGGTGGCAAACTGTCACTGTTATTTTCCCAAAGATATGAGCTGAATCAACCTGGAGACTGAAATACCTTATTCATCCTGGAAATTATTGATCTGGGATATAGTAGTGGCAGAAAACGGACAGTCTAACGATACCTGCATTGATCAAGTCTGTCTGAAGGAAGCAAAGACTCTAGAAACTGTCTGGTGCATTAATATCAAACAGCACTATCAAGTATCTCCTTTAAAGAAATACAGGTTTTGTGCTTTGGGTTTCCCCCGTGCACACACACAGAGACAGATGCTGACGCGGCACGGCAGCTCTGACCTGAAGCAAAGCCGGCCGCGACTGCTGCAGGCTGTTAGGCAGACGAGGGTCACAATGATTTCTGTTTCCTTAGGATCGTGGCACAAACCAGCTCCCAAGTCTGGCTGGGTCTGCAGGTGCTCTCCCAGGACTGGACGCAGATTCTAGGCTACCGGGAAGCTTCAATGCTCAGAAAGCATGCCGGCCTCCAGCCAAGATGAGAAGGGGGGAAAAAAAAGCCACCCAAACCCCAGGGAATCACATGCTAAGGTTCCCGACAAAAGCAAACATGCAGTTTTTATGGACAGAAATCAAAGAAGAGTTTGCTTGTCTTTCTAACACTGTGAAGGATTTCATTGGTCTGACGGGTTTTTCTGACAGCATTTGGCTTTTGTCGGCCTGAAAATGTTTGGGGTTTTTGGCTCTTGGGAGCTAGAAATGAGATCAGCTCAGGTAAAAAGGTTTCCCATGCTTACCAGGCTGCCTGTTCACCTTGATTAAGTCCTTTAATTTGTCCCCCTTGCTTTCAAGACACAGATCAAAACCACAGGGTTTGAATTACAAAAGGGCAAGTCTCAGATGTGGTCTTGGGTCTTCAGTTCCACGTTACAGACTGTTTCAGGCCCGAATGTAGTCTCTAAGCTGCGGCAGATACGAACGTTTTCTGTCTCAGCTAAACTGCATTGAAGTGTCAGTTTTCTCCCCTCCTGGTTTTATCTCTGAAAAGCCTCCGCAATGTCTTTATCGTTTGCTGTTTGGAAGGTCGGCCCTGGTGGGAGGGCAGAGAGGTCCCGTGCAGTAGGTCATGGGCGAGGAGCTCCATGCTGGGAGAGGTCCCAGTGCCGGTGCCTGGGGTCAGGGCTGACAGAGCAGGCTCACCTGGCTCATGTCCCACGGGGTGACAAATCTCTCACCAGCTTCTGTGAGAGGGAGAGCGGGTCCAGGTTGTACCAACTTGGGGGTCTTCACTGCTCCACTGAATCTTCACCAAAAGGTACAGACTGATGAAGAGTCTAAAAAGAAGGCTACAACTGATCTCATGGGATGATTTCTTACAGTTTTTATTAAGCCAACTTGACTGAAAATAAACTGCATCTCCAGGGTGATTGCTGCACAGAAAGAATACGGCTACCCAGGTGGTTCACCCACATGTTGTCCCATTCCTCAAACGCCTGCCTGACTTGCCTTTAAACCCCCAGGTGTCCTGTCCAGCCTCTGCATCTCACTTAATATAGAAGCTGTCTTCAATTGCATTGCTTTTTTATATACTGTGCTCGAGGTGCTGTGCTGCAAGAAGTGCAGCTATACAAGCGTTCCCCAAGCAATCCCAGGAGATATTAACCAGGAGTTACAGAAAATACAGAGTCAAATCCCTCTCATCTTCTGCTGCTTAGCAGGATTTGGCATAACAGCCCTTGTCTGTCCCATCCAGCCAAAATCGCAGAATGCCCAGCCGTAAGTCAACAGCCCGTAGGGTGCTCCTGCACACAGTGTTCAGCCCTGGCTGCCAGAAGAGCTGTCAGAAAGATTATGCCTTGTTGTCAGTGACATAAGAAGTTGAGAGACCAGAGAAACCATTTTGGGATTAAGCAGAATTAAGCTTTTGATTTTTCTTGAAAGCAAAAGGGGTAAAAGCACATGCATGTGTGCAGGCATGCAGAATTTTTGCATATTTCAGCAGCTCCTAAGGAAAGAGCCCATCCATTAAAAAGCACCCAAATGGTGAAATGCAAAGGGAGGGGGTTGTGCAGGTAAGACATCAAAGACCAGTGCAGGAGCTGCTCACGCAGTATTAAAGTCTGCCAGTCACATTTCAGACACCAACCTTGCCGAGCTGCTCTGTGCACACGCTTTCCAAGAGAGGCTGCCTCCAAACAGCTGACATACGCTGTATTGTAGGCTAAATCTTCTAATACCGTGAGGCACCCAAGCATGCAGGGTAATCAGACTTGCATCTTAAGCCCACACCTTTGTACGTAAGCGTAAGCATATACACAGCCATATGGAGGACTACAAAGTCAAGCACTACTGTCTGTTACAGGTAAGCATGGGAAGTTGTCTAAAGTACCTCTGATACAAATCTAGGTGAACATTACAGCAAAAAACAATTACAGAAAATAAAAAATAGAAGTTGGAACAATATAAAAGAAGAAATATACATAAAATAATATCAAAGATGAGGTAACTACAGACCACAAAGTGACCACGAGTGTACAACCGTATGCATATATACTGCATATATGCACACAGGCACAGACAGAAACACTACGCCTAGGCAATGTGCCTTTTTACTCCAAGTCTTGGCCTTTGGCCACCTGTCTCTGTTGCCATTTGAGACACGTTTACCAAAATATGCTCAGAGATCCCATAAAGCCATCCCAAAGCTCCCTTGCCTGTCAGGAGGGACACGGTGCTAACCGCGTGATCTGACCGACGCAGCAGCACCGACTCAGCTCACACCGCAGGCTGCTACCACCGTTTCCTAGGCTGTCCCAGTAACTTCTGAATTAGTGAATTGAAGACAAGTCTCCCACAGGTATCACAATTAGAGTGGAACTAAAACCCCTTGCTTTGTTATTCTTTCCTCTAAACTGCTCTCAAGGTATTATACATACTAAAAGGAAGATAATCCAGGTTCATTACAAGATTTTGGCAAGAGGCTACACTCCTATATTAGCAAGAGCTTTATAACAAAGATAAACTATTTGCTTCCCCACTGCAGCTTACATTAATTTGGCTGTTTAATTTGGGGGGGGAGAGCATTTTGAATGCTATTTTCCTATTAGCACAATTCATTTTCATTTTAAATCACAGCAGTCACAGTGAATCCACTCAGTATAAATTAGAGCACTGTGGAGATTTCCGCAGGAATTGCAGTGCTCCTCAGCCAGAATTACTGTATCATTCAACGTGCTATTGAGTTCCTCCTGCATCAGCTGACAAAAGATGAATTTCCTAGTGTCTGTGGAGGAACCATCCAGGCGTAATACATGCAAAAAAAGAAGAAAAAAGTCCCGCCAGGAGGTGGTCCTCCACCCACTGAGAAATGCCGTGGTCAGAAATCTCCAGTGCGGGGAACGAGCCATGTCTCACCAGAACTGAAAGCTCCTCCTGCATGGGTCTCACCTTGTTCTTGGCAAGAACGTTGGCTCCTGCTTTAACGAGCACTTTGGCAGACTGACTGAATCCGTGCCAACAAGCTTCATGTAGAGCAGTGTTCCCATCCTGAAGAGCACACACACACAAGAGGAGAAGGTTAGGGTGCTGTGTCCACAGGTGGAGTAACATTACATTCAGAACGCCCCACCCGCTCACTTTAAAAATAAATCATTTTCCTTTCCTTCTAGCTTATTTTCTACTTTATTTTTAGAAGAGGCTAAAAATATTGTTATTTCTTTTGTTTGGAACTTGGAATTAGTTGTATTTTACTCCCAAACCAAATTTACAGCCTGGGATCCTCAGTTTCTGGGATAATCAAGGGAAACTCTGCAGTGTTTTGTGCAGGGCATAGTAGGGTTGTACATTTCTTAAATTCCTCCCTCAATGAGCTGCGACCAGAGTCTTCAATAAAAAACTATCACCCTGATATATAAAAAACCCTAAATCAGTAATTTGTATTACAGAGAAGGTACAGCTTGTTTCAGTCTAACTGTTCCAATTACTTTCAAAGAATCAGACAGTTACTCAGGTGTATAAACCATAACTTTCTCTCTGAGATCTTAATATTACTGGCTGGCAAGGGTGCCCTCCCACAGAGCTTTGCTTTTGCCTGTTACCTTGTCTTGTCTGTCCAAAGCGCACCCCTCTTGAATCAGAGTTGCTATAACGTCGGTGTTCCCTACGACAGCAGCCCGGTGCAGTGCTGTCTGATCGCCCTACAGAAAGAAGCAGATCGGTAATCGGTACCATTCCCACCTCATTTTGCCTCAGTGCCAACCCGTACCACACACACATGGGCTGCGTCTTCAACACACGTACTGTTAAATCCAAGCTGCCTTTAGAAACAGTCCCCATAAACAGCTATCATTAAAGTTTCCAAGATTAATGAAGACACTGAAAGTATCAGCGAGCTACAACCCAGCTGTTTACAGAAGGGTGCAAGTCATCACAATCCCATACACAGCGCTGAAGCGTTCTGAGAACACGGCAGCATCAGAAGGCAGCGCATCTAACCCGTTTGGCACCAGGTGTCTAACAATCACCAGTATCTGGAGGGAGCTAAAGGGAATTACAAGCTGTCGTAACGCACCATCCAGCGCTCACACTAACTGCATGAGGCTCTCCTGTTGTGGCTCCGACTGCTACATCAGCCCTGCTTAGGATAAGGAGCACGAGATGAGATCGGTTTCTCCAGCACCTCTAGTGAAGTTTACCAACTAGTGCTAAGAGTGGAGGAGATGTTATGATGAAGACAACTGCAAAACCATCAACTTATTTCATCCAGCGACTGAGCGATCTTGAGGTCCAAACAACTTTCATTTCTCATTGACCTGCCACGTAGCAGCCAACAAGCAAGTTTCTTACATCAGTTTATTTCCTCTGTGGCCAAGTTTCCAAAAGAAATTATGCTGCTGTGGTCATCTGGTCTGACTGCCCACCTATCTCCCCGCTAACAACTGTTGAACTCATTTGCTGAGCTGGAGAGCCTAAGATTCATTTTCCTCAAGCCTTCCAGAAACTAGGGAGACGCAAACTACGGGCCCTGCCCATCGGGGGTTACCTATATATTTTTGTGTTGATGAAACTGTGATAAGAAAAGGTGGGAAAATGAGCTGCAGTAGCTCCACTGCTGCCACGACAGCCGGTCTTGGCTTTCCTGTGAAGTTGCTTTGAACCCGCAGTGCTGAAGCACAGCCTGCGTCCAGGCACAGAGCGGCTTCAAAGCCGCACACAGCCTGTTTGGGGGATGAATAAACGGCGTGGGAATTCAATCCACTTCTGCTTGTCTAGATAATGGCCACCAAAAACACATGCAGGGCAGAGATAGGCAGTGTATCCCGAGGAAACAGAGATTGCAGGACGCTAGTCCTAAACAGACACACGCTTCCTCCGCTACAAATCTTCATCTGATAACACCACATTTTATTAAATACTAAAACTAGAGGAATTTCTGTATATTGTGTCCTACAGTCTACAAGACTTTAGATAACTGGATAATTTGAATAATTTGTTCTCAAGGGCAATTAGCAGCTGATTTTAAAATTCCTCTTGGTGGGGTTCTTCTGTGCTAATGACACCAAAATAGTTATTAACCCATAAGTGAAAAAAATGAGCACTGCCAACCACGGCCTGTCAGTAACCCTTGTAATGCTAACTGCCACCACCAGTAAATCATTAAACTGCCTTATAATCATGAAGCCGATTTTTAAAAATTGTGTTGAGGGCTTTTTTTTTTTAAATTTGCCATCTATGTTTTGTCGCTAGAGGTCACATATTGTTACTTTGTTCTTTTTCCTGTTAAAACTGGAAATGTATTTTAAGAGATTTTGAACACAGACAATAATGGTTCCAGGAACTGGGACTTTCAGAAAAACATGAAGTATTGGAAAACTGACAGCACTGCAAGTTCTCTGGACTTGCGTATTTATTCCAAATTTAAAGATAACAAAATTGTTATGAAAAATGTCCAGAATATACCATCTCACAAGCCCAAGTGTCAGATAGTTTCCAGTAACCACTACTGCACAGAAATCTGCTTGCTAACAAGCCGGGGAAGAACTTAACGACCTTTCCACAGCGCGTGGCACGGATGACTGGCACAGCTACTGCTGCTGCAGCAAGGGGTAACGTGGACAGTACAAAGGTCACTTTATCTGACTACCAAGAAGTGGAAAGTAACCCATCAACCTATCCCTGTCAACTGGTATTGCTGCACCAGCAGAACTACAGACGATAATATAATCAAGACTAAAAGGAGATGACATCTGCCATTGCGATGGATGGAGCCTGAACAATGAATGGTTGGTTCCAAATTCTTTATGGCCCGGAAAATTGACCGTGGAGAAGACCAAATTGGGGGCAGGAACGGATTATACTGGATTTGGTCTGTAATTAAGGATCTTTTCGCTGGGCCAGTTTAACCCAGGGCTGTTCTGTCGTTAGCCCAACCCCGTCACAGTAATTGTAGTGAGGTCAAAGGCCATTCAGCTTTTTGGGGTTTGTAGATATGACAGCTACTTCTAATGACATCTCAGGTAAATTAAAAACAAACACATATCTGGGAAGCGGGTAGCACACCTCCCTGCTGCAGGCACAGGTCTCTCCTGGGGACCCTAGCCCGTGTGCTGGGGGGCCATTTGCCAGGGCTGCAGAATGGCCCTGGGATGGCTTCAGCCATGCCCAGGCTTTTTCTCGTACCATATTCTGGTCCCTGAAATGGAAGCCTGGGTAGGTGAAGCGACGCAAGTCCTGCAGACGGCAGGCTGAGGTGCTTGCTGCCGAAGGTGTGGGGTTTGGTGCTGGCATCTTCCCTACCACAGCATGGGGAAAGCCAAGCATCTACGAGTAAGGTCCACCCAGCATCCTGACCAGGGAAATAAATACCCGATCCACATAACAAGGAGTGTCAAAGGATATCTCAAACCCTGCCTCAGCTGGACTGAGGCACCTCCTAGGGAAGAGATGGCAGGGATCAATGTCCTGGTGAAGGTCCCTGCTACTCCCAGGCCCTTCAGCCCTCAGGACAGGACCTGGTCGACCATTCCCTTGGGCTCCAGCACACACATTAACCTTAAACGGCTCAAGGCACTGTGGAAGCTGAACCATCAGCTTGCGATGGTGTCTGCGTGTGAGCCATGGAGTGACCCAGCATAGCCCACCTATAAATAACACTGCCTGCACCGCAATGTTTCTAACCTGCCTTGCCTCCCCGTTAGCAGAGAAGCAAACCCCTCTCTTGCCTCTTACAGAGTCAGATTAAACAGATGAGTTATATTTTTTTCACAGCATGAATTTTCAGACAGTGTAATCACTGACTCACATATCTTTTTATTAATTGCTAAAGTAACTGTCTCTGAAAGCACTCACCGGAGTTCTGCCTTTAGCAAGGCATTAAGGGGCTGTTCCAGAGGCTCAGAGAGAAATTGCAGTAAGTTCATATTAACTGCCCAGACTATTATGTTGGGCACAACTTACGATCCTATTCGTGATTTATGCCTTAGTAACAGACTGCAGATCAGTAGAAATGCAGAGAGATAACTCCAGCGCTGTGTCATGCAGATGTGACCTTGACAGAAACAACAGAGTCTGCCTAAATGCAGAGATGGACCCGAAAACAAAAAGACACTTAGGTGCTTAAGCAAGGCTTGGTAGAATTAAGGCACCTCAGTCTACAGTGGGGCGTCTTAAATCCCCTTCCTCAGCTGCTGCCTAGCCCTGAAAGCAACTCAAGCTTGGTCGTTTCCACTTCAATGCCCTGGACACCTCGGCTCTCATGCCACCACAGGGCACCGCAGCCATGGTGGTACTGAGGAGGTCATCCCATACCCCGTGCCCAGCCCTGCCGCAGCCGTCTCCCCTCCTCTCACTCTGCGAGCACTCTCGCCGAGATGACGGCGCTTGCCCAGCTTGTCTTGCCATGGGAGTGCTGCTGTGCTGAAGGAAAACGCCTGCCTTCACTGGGCTAGAGAGAGGGAGATGCCGGTGGGAGGCAGGGATGGGAACCAGCATCCCCTGTGCAGAGGGTGCGGGACAGCACGCCCCGCGCGCTCTGCTGCGACGGGGCTGACGCACAGCACGGCCCAGCACCAACAGGTTCGTTTCCAAAGGGTGAAACCGTGATCGTCACAGAGAGCTTAAATGCCTGCCTTCGGGAGAGGGCTACAGGCTGGGCGTCCTGAAGAAAAGCAGATACTTAAACTTGGACCTTCTCCGTGGATTTTGGCATTACCCCTTCCCTTCAGCACTTCTGTGCTGGCTAGGCTGGTGGCGCTTGCTCAGTGTCCTGGTGTTTGCAGTTACCTCCTCGAGTCTCTTCATTCGCTGACTAACGTAAAGCAGTGGCTGCAGCCACTGGGATCAGGCACCTGGGAACTGGATAGGCATCTATTTTACACCTGAAGTTCACCCCAAGGGAAAGGAAACAACACAAGCAACTTACAAAAAAGGGTTTCAGGTAGATACTAGTACTTTTGCCAGCTGTCCTGGGTTACTAGAGTCTCTATGAAGACTCTACTGCCCAAATTTAATAAGATTTGGTTTACCCTAGTTTGTAATACACATTACTTTTTCCTTTCTCTGATTTAAGAAATACTATGACTACCATATTTTTTTTTGCTGCACACTGCTATTCTCCAGAGCGCCCATCAGTTGCATGATCTCCTTTAAAGCCCCTCTCCAGTGTCACACTTTGCCTCCTCACTGTCTTTCCATGTTGTCAGGAATCACCAATCTGTCTCATTACAGGAGAATTGCACCAAAATAACCAGCAAAAACTCACGCGTTCAATCCCTGACACAAAGAGCTGGGTGGCACTCACAAAGTCTTATACTATGAAATCAAACCACTAAATTCACGGTGGATGGCTAAAAATATTTTAAAATTCAAATATAACTAAGTGTTAAATACTGGAGCATACAAGCATACGTGGATATCCTGAAGCAGCTGTACCCAAAGGCAGCCGCGCGTGCCCTGGTGTTTCTCAGCATCCCTGTGCTGCTCTCCTCCTCCTTTGCTAAAGAAGGGCAGTCATCAGGACACACAGTAACAACTTCACTCCGAACGACAAATGATGATGCATGACCAGCAGAAGTGATCAAGGCATGAAAAAAATAGTCATGAACAAAACAAATTACAGCTTAAATGAGACTGAAATGGGAGTATAGGAATAAGCCACTTCGTATATTTACATTCAGCTAGAAATGATTACGAAGCCTGGGTTATTGTTCCATTTGAAATTAATTTTCTGCTTCTTAAACTAAACTGCAGCTTCCAGAAGGGAAGTTTTGGAGGCTGAGGCCTTGGTTTTAAATTAAATTGTTTTCCCAGTTAGCTTTTCAGAGCGTGCGTACGGGGCAGGGAACTTGATGCGGAGCACCCAGCGCGAAGCCCGCCATGCAGTCATGCACCGCAGAAGAGCCCAGCCATGCTGGACCGCCAGGCCCAGGCTTCGCAGCATGCAGCCACGGGAGACGTCAAGCTCAAGGCAGGGTCGATGCGCAAGGTTTCTAACCTCCTTCTCTCTTTCTGATCTTCTAGGTTCCTTCCTAGCCTTTCTCTTCTGGTTTCTCTTATCTTTTTCATCCTTGGTTTCCTTCACCGGGACAACCTTCTCCTTGACTACTTCTGAGGTGTGTGCTGTATGGACACTCATGGACCATTCAGAGATGGCATTGGGATCCCAGTAAGAGTTTTCAGTATTGGCAGGGAGAAGAAAGGAGTTAGCTCCCGGAGTGGCATACTCTACAGAGCTGGACTCGACCGGCTGAAATTCATAATAATCCCACTCCAGGCCACTGGAGGTCATTCTTCAACTAATTCTTATGGGTCTCAGCCTGTTTTAAAGAATGTAGCTGCAGAACACGAAGTGAGTGTTTCAATCTCTCCACAAAATTTAGCAACTTTTAAGTTTCCGCTTATCGTGTGGCAGATGAAGTTAGTCTTGCACTCATTCATTAGCTAGTCAACTCTGAAACAAAATGTGTTTAGGTTTCTCTCATTATTCAGAAAAATAAAATATAGGTCATCTTTTTAGAACCTGGAGTTTTTTTGTGTTATCACAACAATGCCACAGACAAAAATCAACTAAGTAATTTCCTTTTCAATTAAATATGATACTCCCCACACTCGTGAGCGATTTCATCTCTGAACCTAAATCTGCATTCCTGAAAAACAGCAATGAAATGTACAGATGTTAATCAACACTTGAAACTAAGATGCCTTCACTGCCAAATAAGCACACAGTAAAAGTGACCAAAGGTGTAATCAATAGAGTGCATCTGAAAGAGAACATGAACATATTCTGTGGGAGATAAATAATGTGTAAAAATGAATTATATAAGGAGAAACCATAAATAGAGAACCTGCTGTGAAGACCTATGTAGAAGGAAAGCAGAAATATTTTAGTTAATACCTTTCACAAGCAAAAAAATCTTCACCTGGAGTCTTAGCCTTCCTCCTCCCAAGACAAATCCAAACACCCCCTCTGAGACTCAGCAGCAACTCCTGAGGCTCTCCTCAACCCTAACCAAATTCCTGGTACTAAATATGGAGCTAAAAGCAAAATACATTTTAAAGAAACATTATCTGTGAATCAAGCATGCATCTATTCTGTTCGGATTAGTCACCACAGTTAGCAGCGGTGTTCAGCTGTTGTGAACAAAGCCCCCCACAGAAGCTTGCAAGGCAAGTGAAACAGGTCTTCTCCAAGCTAAATATTGCTACAGTGCAGACTCTTCGCTAAACTAAAATGATGCTAAACACCGATTTACTGTTTTTCCATTATGGCTATCACGTTTACATATAAACAACCTAGATTTTATTCCTAGAGGATTAAAAAAACCCCAGACTTACTAGAAAAAAAAATGTTTTCACAGAAACCCAATTTGAGCAAATCAGTGGAAGTTCTTGCATTCTTAGAGCGCAACTTGCTTTTCTCAGGAAAACTGACTGTACTTGTAAAGTACCTGCAATTTTGTCTTAAATGCCTGATGATTCATTTTTGCTGGGAGAAGTCGAAAAAACATACTCAGGATACATCTGAATACACTGATACTCCCATTACACTTGCAAATCCTCCTCGGTTTCACAGACGGGCACATGGAAAGAATAAAGAGCCCAGGAAACAAAGTTTCTCCCTAGAAAAACAAGTTTCCCAGTAGAAAGCTGGCTGCACCAGTACCCCAGTCCTAGGCTTGTCAGACAGACTGCTCACGTCTCACATGGAAGCAGCTACTCATGCAGAGAAGGAAACCAGTTTTCCAATTTCTATAGATATTTAAGGCTCTCTAGATGCAAACAAATACCTAAGGGGATTTTCAAAAGGCACCTAGACATTCCCATTGTCTTTTTAATAGTCATACCGGTGCCTCTGCTAACCACCTTTGGACCTCTAGGTCCTTTGAAGAATCTTCACCTTATTTATTACAGAGGAACAACAGCCATCCTTCCTCAAACTTGTTCCAGCGTGCTATCAGAAGTTCGCAACGAGTCTGAAGAAGTCATGGTTATTCAACCGCTGTCACACATTTCAGTCCACACCTTCGTTCATCAGAGGGAGGTAATTAAAACCGTGTTACCAGTCACTCCAACGTGCCATAAAGCCTGGTCGAAGGTGAGAACTATTCTTACGGAAAGCTGAGAAATTCCAGTAACTTACATATTTTACCAAATGGAAACAAATGCTAAATTCAAAGCTGGTTTTGTCGTGCTGATTCTTTGCCACACGACAGCCTCACAGATGCGACCACCCCGCACCCAGCGCGGCTGCCAACGGGACGATTCCCCCGCGATGCCACACAGTGCTCCGGGCAGCTGCTCCATGCTCCACACGCCGCGGCATGCGTCTACACAAAAAGCATCTCCCACTTCAGGCAAACACCGCAAGGGATGGTGTCCCCTACCTGGCATCCTCCAGTGGGTTCGCGTGTGGTACGGCAAGCTCTTACTTCACTTCTGCACCAAAAGGCAGACGATGACTCTCACTGCTACTTACACCAGCCTGGCGCAACCAGAGCTCTTATAAAGAGCTCTTGAGCACGAGGACCAAACGATTCATTGGAAAACACCGCATTTTACTTTGTCTCCCACGCAGCTTTGCATCTCCAAATTAGAGGTTACATCTCCAAATCAGAAAATACGGAGAGACATTTCGTTTTCATTTAATCCTACTTCAAAGAAGTGAAGGTCTACTCTTATTTGCAAATTACCTTTTCCCCCCCACCCCAAGCAAGAAGGCTGTATCTACTTACGTCATCCTGAATATCCAGGTCACAGCCAGCCTTCAGCAAAACCTGGACAACATGGAGATGACCCTTGTGGGCAGCAAGATGCAGGGGGGTCCGGCCATGCTATGAATAAGAAGAAAATAATAATACCTTAAGGTGAATTTTTATGCATGGCTGTTGACCAGAATTTTATCCTCTTTTCCACATTCTTCCATTCATACTTCTCTCTCTGAAGCCTGCAATAGCAGGAGTTGGCATATATTATTGTAGCAAAGCCTTTAACTTAGTTTTTATACGCTGAAAACTCTTCCTCACCCTTCTGCAACATCTCAGTTTATGCCGATGAAACTCTACAAAAGGGATGTTATTTTCACATAAGGTTACTTCCTTATAAATCCAGATCTGGCTTTGTGTCCATGCCTAAAGAGAATTCATTACCCTTTTCTTTCTGTCCCTCTGGAGCACAGAACTGCCAACCGCTTTCAACTTCACTCTCTACGGCAAAGGTGCAATAGCAGGCTAATTCAGATATTGCAATGGGTACCATCTCTGCGACAGAAATAAGAATTACTGGACTTTTGTGTATGACGGATGCTCCCCTTAAAAGGAATGGAAGACTTGTAGTCACTCCAGGTGACTTCATGTGTACGACAATCAACCTCATTTTGCCAAAGATCTGCCAGGTTTTTTAGACAATGTTTATTTTTAAACATTACCAAGCTCTAATCCACATGACAGTAAGAGTCTAAAATAGTCACGAGTAATTTAAACTATAGTGTAATCAAGGATAGTACCCTAATAAACAGAAGGACAGAAAAGCTCTAATTAGTGAGATGGATACACGTTGTATGGTTTTAGGAGGAAAAAAAACCCCAAAGATTGAAATTTGACAATAAAGTCAATTAAAAAAAAAAAAAAAAAGCATCTCCCTAACAAATAGGTTCCAAAAATCTAAGGGAAATGACAAGAGGAAAACAATAATTACTTGTAACTGAGCCCAGCTTGATCATCCTCTGACAGCACTTAAAATGAAGCATTTCAGGAAAAGAGGAATAGGCTGCTTCTCCTACAAGAGTCATGAGAACCACTGTGAAAAGAGGCTCAAAGACGGAAGAGATTGTAAGAGGCAGGCTGGACCACAGAGCAGAACTACAAGAAGAGATTCCCTAAAAATTTAACCCATACAGCCTGAGAAAGAAAATTCGTAAGGTAGAACCAAGAACTAACTCCTGCTCTAGGAAGTATATGTGTGTGTGTGTGCGTGTGTATATAAAAATCTCAAAGCATCAACTTGAAAAGCAACTGAAACACCTTCAGAACTGTTAAACAGCAACACTCTAAAACTGTTCACTTCAAATTTTATTCCAGTGCAATTAAGAAAACAGAATTCCAGCCACTGGAAAAATCACAGAGTATCTTCACAAAGAATCCCATTTTCTACACCAGGCATTTTATGAGATAGAAGAGTTACATTCCTCTTCACCTGTATCTGTTCTATTTTTATTTCTTTCACTGCTGCTGTGGTTGTCTATTTTTCCACGCAAAGATTACCCTGCAAAGGAAGATATGGGGCCCTAATACATCAGCTACAGGAGGAGCAAACAGCTCAAGAGCTGGCTGACTACCAGTGGCCTGAAGTAAGAAGAAGGCAACAACCAGCTCTTGAGGTTTTAAGCAACTTCCCCAGTGGGAAAGCTTCTTCAAGTAAATAAAAAAACCAAGCTCAAGATGGGATTGTTTTCACACAGCAAATCCCATACCGCATAGCTGGTAAAGCTTCAGGAATTCAGGGAAAAAAGGAAAGCCAGCATCGAAATCCACATAAGGGCTGGGGACAAGATGTCAATGTCGTTTCTGACGAGTTGTGCCGTGCTTTGAAAACATTAAAAGTTGATGAACTGTCCTACATTATTGACCTGAAGGGTCAGACCTAAAGGAAGAGTCCTCACCCAGGCTCGCACATGGGTCTCTCAAAACCCAAACGTTGTCTCCTGTTAGGCAGCAGCAGCTTGTTCCCACGTGGGACACGTCCACTCCCGCCCCGCTGAAGGCATGGGAAGGGCTCGCTTTCGGCTGTCACCACCGCCCCAGGGTGCCGTCCAGCCTGCTGCTTGGGCGCTCCCTGCTCGCTCTGGCCACAGGTCCCTACGGTCCCCAGACGCCTGGCCCTACAGCGAGGGGCATTGAGCAGTTCCCTTCTCCATCAGCCTGGAGCAGAGCCTGGGCTACGTCGCTGTTCCAGGTAACTCAATAGCAGGAGGCATAAAAGTCTCCAGGCAACACTGGGGGGGGTGGCAGAAAGGAAAAAAGAAAGAAGAAATAAAAAAAAAGACAACAGATTGACAAATCATTCCCAGCTATGAACAATATGTTTGGACTACAAATATGTGCTCCAGCACGTTCAGGTTTACTGGTTCTGACTTTCTACATTACTTAACGGCAGTAAGTAAATCACCTAATCCGGGCATCTCACTTCCCAGCAGGTTACTAATATATCATGAAAACAATTTATTGCAATTTGTGCACAGAGCAGAAGAAATCCCAAACAAACCGAACCTGAAGCCAGCTCATGTACTTTAAAAGGAAAACAGCGTCAACTACATGAATATATCCCAGCAGGGAAACTTTCTGATAAGATAACCATCTCTAACCACTGAAAAAATGCTGAGGTGCAGCCAAAGGTAGAGTGTTCAAAATAAACTATGAAAGCAGCGTACGAGTTTGTTTCAATAGCAGGGACGTGTTTCCCTCACCCAACACACCCTTCTCGGCAATCGCCACACAGAGCGTGCCCGGCAGCAGGGCACAAGCAGAAGAAAAGGTTGCAAAACCACAGAAGATCAAGATCACACGACCTTCACCTGCCCGCTTAGTGCCTTAAGGCACATTAAAATAAAGCTGCCCCAGGGAAAGGGCTTCTCTGGAGGAGGCTGCCTTCACCCCAGGGAGCACCAGGTTCTCCTGTCCCTGGGACCAACCTGCCCCCTGCTCTCAATAGCTGGGCAGCCTCCCCAAGCTCATGGCCAGCCCCAGGAGATGGGTGCTGGAGGAGGAGAGGGCACATGCTGCGAGAGGCCACCACGGGGCCAGGGAGAGCTGCGAGCAAGGGCTGCCTGGCTGTTCCTATCACAGCAAACAGGGATTTACATCAACTGTGCATTTCCCATATCATCATCCCCAAGCATTCAAAAACTTCAGCCAGGTCCCCAAAACTCACATTTTCGTTTAAAAGAAAAAAAAAAAAAGCAAAACAAATGAGTTATTGAAATGGAAAACCAGAGGATGATTTTTATTCCAGAGAGTTTGTGTGTTTCGAGGTTCTCTATCCAAAAACAGGCTCAGTGGCATCCCACCTATCGGAGACCCATAGACAGAGACCTTCAGAGACCAGAGCTACTGCATATGTGCAGTCCTTGAGCTCTTTCCACTACAAAGGGACAGTGTAAAGGAAAACCATGGCTCTAGCTAGGAAGGGAGAGTGGAAAGCAGGATCATTTCCAGCACATTGCACTGATTAGAGGCTCAGGCTTTTCACAGGATCATAGAATGGTTTGGGTTGGAAGGGACCTTAAAGATCATCTTGTTCCAGCGCCCCTTGCCATGGGCAGGGACACCTTCCACTAGACCAGGTTGCTCAGAGCCCCATCCAACCTGGCCTGGTACACTGCCAGGGAGGGGTCAGCCACAGCTTCTCTAGGCAACCTGTGCCAGTGCCTCACCACCCTCGCAGTGAAGAATTGCTTTCTTATACCTAATCTAAACCCACCCTCTTTCAGTTTGAAGCCATTATGCCTTGTCCCGTCACTACATGCCCTTTTGGAAGAGCACCGACCATCTCAAGATTAACCATATCCCTGCAAGGACTGGCAATGCCAGTTTTAGTCTGTCTTCCCAGTAACATCAAAATGAGAGCAGAGATGGGTGGTACAGCTGGACAGTGTTTCAGTACGGGCAATGCAAACACTGGAAAAATACTCCCACCCACTTCCCAATGCAAACATATACATATACACACAGGTATGTACATATGTATGCACACACCAATCCAAAACAAACTGTGAGTGAGAGACAAGGCAATTTGGGTGTCCATCATGCTGTGATGACAAAACTTAGAGCACCACAGTCTTTTGAAACTTTTTACAGGTCTGTGCCATAGTGGAAAGCCTCAGCAGCAACATCCAGAGCTGCTCTTGCCTGCCTGTGAGGCTCTGCTTCACGTCCGGGAGTCAAACCAACAGCCCTGTACACCGAGTGTGAAGGACACTGCTGATGGGCTAATAGGACTTTCTTTAAAAGAAAAAAAAAAAAATTCTCTCACAACAATGCATCCTACCCAAAATATCTAGGGGGAAGAGAGATGAAGGCAGATAGACAAATTTCCCTCTGCAGCTATACTTCCATCAAGACATTTTGCACTCACCACTGCAGCACCAAAGAGGGGGCTTACCCGAATACACAGATGGGTCCTAGTGGGGAAGGAAACACAGGAACAAGAGTGTCTCCTAGATGCTCACTGCAAGGAGACAACACTAAAACCAGGGACTGCTTAACATGCAGATTACCAACTTAAAAGCTTGTGAGCCTTTCCAAATAAGGACTGTGATGGTTTGGGGGTTTTTACAGAAATACAAATGAGATACTGCTACAACTTGGGATTAATGAACCAATAAAGCAGTCACTCATATAAAAAAATATGCAATTTGGACTTCTATTCAAATGTAAATAATTGCTTCAGCAGGCAACAAATCATACAAATACTCCCGTGTCACAGGCTTATTGACAAAACAAATGGGACCTATTGCACCAAGGCTGCAACTTCCAACAACCGTGACACGCTGCTACAGCTACGGGCGGATCGGGTTGCAGCCACGCACACGGAACAGCCACATGAATTTCAGCAGTAAAACCCAAGGGTAGGGTTTCTGTTTGTATTCAGTCTGTATTCTGACTTCCAGACACCATCGGGCAGCTGTTGATACATACGGTTTAAAAGCAGAATTTTCTTAGAGCAGCTGCCAGTGTATGCACTCTGCAAGGAAATCCGTACCGGGGGGCCTTAGCACCACGAGCCGCATGATCTTTCCTTGTGTTTATGAATTTGTAGACACTTTTACCCAAGTATA